AACGCGAAGCTCTAGTTTTCATACGTTATTTAACTTCACAACGAACATTTATCCACCCCAAACTTAATCAGTATTCACTTCCCGTTTTTGAATAATTGCGTCATAAAGCCAGAAATAACTTGTATGTGTAAACCTACATAGAATGTTGACTAAAATTTATCACACCGTTAAAGATACATTTTTTTTAAACCAAATAATTGATTGTACCGAAAAGAATTTAATTTCGTGATCCTTTGTTCTTACATAAATTTATTCATAACTCAACTCGGTAGTGTTTGATGAACAAATTGCCTGCCCAACCACTCTGCGTTTGTAACAACAAACGCAAACCTCTTGTCTTTCTTTCTTTCTTTTCTGGACAATACGTCTCCGCGGGTTTTCTCCTAAACAGTATATGATATGAACTTGTAACTTTCAAGATATATCGACCCTCATCCCAAGTGGTGCATATTACTCTGACGTCATGATGACGTCATCAGGTGTCAAATTACAAGCAAGTTTTGAGGAAAAAGTGGCAAAATACACCAACCTGTAACTCTTAAACAAAATTATCATTTATGTTCCAACTTTGTAGTCACATGGACCATTAGTTGATAAACATTTTTTGTGTGTACATGAACTCACTTGTCCTTTACTTCCGGGTCTACCGGAAGGTCAAATTTACGTGAATTCAAAATGAAGACTTGAGCCTGAAATAATAACAAAGCAAAATTTCTTCAAAACTGTTTACACTATGATCATAAAAATTACTGTGCACTTCAAGTGGACCATGTTACGAAGATGCTATAATCTTTGTTACGTCATCATGACGTCATCAGGTATCAAATTACAAGCGATTTAAGGGCAAATTTTGACAAAATAGTTTGCGCTATTACTTTTGAACTAAATAGAGTATTGTGTTCATGTTTTCGTGAGGTTGCACACTATGCCGTGAGCAACATTTCTTATCCCGGGCACAAAACTGCTTGACATTTACCTCCGGTGTTACCGGAAGTGCAATGGAAATTGAATCGAACTCTAAAATGGAAGTATTTTACTACAGACGAATACATTATGGAAGTGTTAAGTGACGAATGCCAATCACAAAAAAAATAATAATTTTACGTCATCCCAAGAAAGGGCGCCCTCCAGCGGCACATCAAAATCAGTTTCTTGATCTTTTGAAATGTTAAAACCCTCAAACAAATTTTATCAAATTACCCATATATATCTCGTAAGCAACCACAAATGAAATTGCAAGTTTTCATAATCATGACGTCATCGAGCCGGAATTACTATAGCGAGAATTTAACACTGATAATTTATTTTTAATTTAAATCCATCAAAATGATCCCTGTCTCATGACTTAGTTCCTTGCCCCCAAAAAATGACATCTCTTACACTTAATATTGACCTTTTGCTTTCAAATACTGTGACGTCATCAAACTGGAAGGTGGGTGTTATTATTACATACACTTAATTGCCACATTACCGTGTTATTTTTTACTTAATGATAAACAAGTGTCCTCCTTAAATTTAATCAGTATTCCCTTCTTTTTTTTGACTGATAACATTATCAAACCGGAAATATATTGTTCTTGTACCTAAATGTTTACTGCCATCATCAAACCCTAAAAGACGCATTCTTTTTGTAAAAAAAAATTGGTACTGGAAATGTTAAAGTTCTTGATCCTTTTTTTTTTTACATAAACATGTTCATGACTTAACTGGGCAATGAATAATGAAAAAGTTGGCTACCCGACCACTCTGCGTTTATAACAACAAACGCGCACCTCTAGTTTATTCTTTCTTTAAGTTGTCGGGCACAACCCGACCACTCTTTGGAGTTGTTACGATAAATCTTTCTTTCTTTCTTTCTTTTTCTGTACGGCACGTTTCCGCGGGTTTTCTCGTAAGCGGTTTATGGTATGAACATGTAACTTGCAATATATATCGACCTCCAACCTAAGTGGTGCATATTACTCTGACGTCATTATGACGTCATCGGGACTTAAATTACAAGTGATTTTAGCTGAAAAGGTGACCGATTGCTTTCACCTATAACTCTTGAACTCAATAATCAACGATGGTGGTATTCAGTTATCAGATAGACCATTAACTGCTTAACATTTTTTGCGGTGTAGGTAAACTCGCTTGAACTTTACATCCGGGTCTACCGGGAGGTCAAAGTTAGGTGAATTCAAAATGAAGACGTTAGCCTGAAATCAAAACAAATCACAATTTGTTCCGAACGGTTTACGGTATGATTACAAGACCTTGTGTGAACTTGAACCATGTTTCGAAGATATTGTAAATTTTGTAACGTCATCATGACTTCATCAGATATAAGGGCAAATTTGGACAAAATATTTTGCGTTATATCTTTTGAAATAAGTAGAATATCGTGTTCGTATTTTCCGTGAGGCTGTAGGCTATGTGGTGACATGTCGTGTTCCCGGACGCAAAACCTCTTGACCGTTACTTCCGGTGTTACCGGAAGTGCAATAAAAACCTGAATATAACTCAAAAGCGGAAGCATTTTACTACAAGCATATATAATATGAAAGTGTTTAGTGAGGAATGATAGACACAAAAACAGTGTGATGACGTCACTATCCGAAAGGGCGCCCCCCTAGTGGCACATAAAATAGTGTTTGCTTTCTTTAATTTTAAAACCTTAGGTTCAAATTTTACCAAATCACCCCTTGATATTCTTTGATTAACCACTGATAACTAGGCAAGGTTTCAAATTCATGACGTCATCAGACCGGAAGTTACTTCTATGAAAATTTGCCAACGATCATATTTTAAATTCAATTCTATCATTTGATCCATGTCGTATATCTTAGCCCAAATAACGATACCATCACAAAGTTCACATTTTGCTTCCAAATACTGTGACGTCATCAAACCGGAAGTTCGGTGTTATGAATATACACTTATATTTTCCAAATTTTCATACGTTATTTAACTTGACAATGAACATCCACTCCGAACAAAATCAGTATTCAATTCCCGTTTTTGACTAATGACGTTATCAAGCCAGAAATAACTTGTATGTGCACTAAGGAATGTTTACTGAAATTTATCACACCGTTAAAGATGCATTTTTTTAACAAAATAATTGATTGTCCTGGAAAGGAATTAATTTCGTGATCCTTTGCTCTTACACAAAAATATTCATGACTTAACTGGACAGTGTTTCATAAAATAGTTTTCTACCCTGTTTCTATTTAACAAATGATAATTCTATTTCCATGAAAGTGCATTCAGTCGGCGTACGATTTCGCAAAATGTGCACTGATTTTAGTAAATTGGCATTTCATTTCAGCGCGAAATCGAAGGCACATCCGCAATCCTGTTTTCATTATAATTTATTATGACCAATCTATTTCGCTAAATGTGCAGCCGATTTCCCGCGCAGTGTATCTTATCGTACGCCTGTTCAAGCATTGGAATTCACGTATGTGTTACTGTTAACAATAGTAATTTATGAGGAATGTTTGATTGAATACTTGAAAGTTTATTTATTCATGATGATTGAGCTAAACCAGGGGTGTAGTCTTTAGAAACATGAAGAAAATCGTTCTTTTTTGCTCAGTATTTGCCACAATCGCATCATATAACCCGTCACAGTTCACATAGTCCTTTTTGTATTTAAGAAAAAACACATTATTGAAACATTAGGCCTACAATACATTGATTAATTAATGAAATAATCAAAGTTGTATCATGATTTGTGTAGGCTTGTACACTTTATTTAAAGTGAATGCAGAAATGCGCTGCGAGTTGCTTTGCACATTCGTATTAATCGGCAACGCATACGTCAAACCGAAAGCCTAATCGCGTATTTGCAATCCTTTTAATTAAACGAATAGCCATTTATTTATTTGATTGATGCAAAATGGAATCGAATGCTAGTTATTGCGAAAATGAAACCTAGATATACGTCGTTCTCAAAATCAGCGCTAAATTGAATTATGTTTTACAAATTCAGATGCAAATTTTCCCAAATTTTCCGGGAAACCTGTAGTAGAAAGTTGCACAAAGCGTCTTCCGACAAAAATAATTGCACGGACCCTTTAATTAAGAAGGAGAGGTGTGCATATCTACGGTTTGAAGACATCAGGTACGATTTATGCCGAGATAATTCTAAATTTAACATGCAGAAAGTCTTAAAATATGCTTGACAAAAATGTGAAGTATGTTTGTCAATTAATGAAAATTAACCCCTTATACTGGTTCAGACGAAATTAAAAGAACAACGCGCTACTTTAATTTGAATGCATTTTCTATGGGGACGAGTGAAGCCAAAAGACGATAGAATGATATAATAGTGAAATTGAATTATTCTTTCTGATTGTCGAATGACGATCGAATTAAGCCCACTTCATACTCCATGCGAATGCTAATACGAAAAGAATTTGACGTCATGAAACATTTGCTGCAAAATTCGCCGAGTTGAAATATGTTCAAGTCAATTTTTACGAACACCACAAAAGCTTTAGGTGCACCGTCTTGACTTTTTTGAGTGAGCCTGTTTGCATAAGATGTTTATTTGTATAATGAACGGCGCCCTCAAAGGGTTATCTACCTGTGGTCGTAGGCAATCTCTCCATTTTTTCTGTCAATCTCTCTTCAGCGTGTTCAGCTGGATCGCTACGTTCAGCTGGATCTTCATCTGTAAAAAAGAAAGTCATTAGCCGACGAGAGCAGCGTTACGTTTAAGCAAACGTTTTGGAAAAAGCTTCCACTCCAGTCTGGTTTCTTTGAGACTAGTTATTTTTCTTCAACCATACCTTTTCGCTGGTCTTCTTCCAATTCGTCAAAAAATGTGCAAGCCTTATCGTAGTCGCTTTTCGGTATAGCCACCTGGATAGCAAAGTCACTCTTATCTTCTGTTGTCAGTTCTTCCGTTATGAGAATTTCTTGCCCTGTACATTTGTCTTGAACAGCGCCCTCATAGTACAATGTGGAGTTCAGCTTCCCCCCCCCCCTCCCCCGCTCCGGCTTTTCGTATTTCAATGGCCGGGCAGTTTCAGGATTTTGGTCATCTCCCACCAATCGCCGGCACAGATTGACGCCACTGAATACCTACCAGTGGTCGTGGGCAATCTCTCCATTTTTTCTTCCATTCTCTCTTCAGCGTGTTCAGCTGGATCGCTACTATAAGCTGTCGTGGATGTGCTGCGCCCTCCAAGCTGTTCTACCTTCATCATGTCGCTTGAGCCCTCTTCATTTGTAGTAAAAAATATATATTAATTATCCTTCAATGCAGTCTTATTATGGGCAAGCACTACTTCGGAGTTTTTGTTCTCTGCCCCATCGTCAGCCTTAAAGGGCCTGTCACATTATATGCGCTCTCTTAGGAGACCTTATGGCGACCAAAAATATTTAATAAATTTAGCAATCGCAGCGAGGACGCAAGAAAATGACAATTTTCTGTATTAATTGGTCAGAAAATAGCTCAAGCTACGCTCATACGGCGCTCATCCCGCGCTTTCGATGCGCTCAACTCGATCTCTATGCGCCCCTGTCAAGCCCAATATTACTCGATCTAGTCGCTGCCGCTGCGCTGTCATTGCGCCCACACTACGCTCTGCTCGCGATTGTTGCGCCCCAGCCATTTTTCAAGGACGCAGTGAGAGCGCATTTATGATCGCCGACAGTCTGACAGGACATTTACCAACGTAAGCCTTTGCATAAATATATATTCATGGTGTCACCATCTGCCCATACGACCATGAATATATACAAGGGCGTATGCAAATGAGACGATATACCCCCATCCCGCATTGTTGTCCCAGTTGGAACTCTTCCCCCCCCCCCCCCCCCCAACACACACGCTTACATAGGCATAGAAGTGCGGGGGTACTTCCTTTGTTCTCGTGTACTAAAATTTTGCAACGTCGCACGCTTATGTCAAAATGTTCTTATTTTAACCATAGTTCATTTCCTGGGCTGAAATTCGGACTTAATTTCCCCTTTCCAAAAACTCTTCCATTTGCGACACACCAATCCACCTTGGAAATTCCTAGTTTTGAGTAAAATCCATATATCTATTTCGTGAAAAACTTGTGCGGTACCAAAACGGTACCCCGCAAGTCGGTGGGCATTCCTTGTGGGGTACCTCCCATTGTTCCGGTACCCAACAAGGCAGTGTTTGTACACGCACACGCACACAATTTGTGATGTGGAACAAAAACAATTGCCAATTTTAGGATTATTTCCTGATTTTCAAACAGTCCAAATGTATTTAATAGAAACGTTAAACGGAGAAAGAACACCACAAAAGCTTTAAGTGCACCGTCTTGCCTTTTTTTTGAGTGAGCCTCTTTGCATAAGATGTTTATTCGTATAATGAACGGCGCCCTCAAAGGGTTATCTACCTGTGGTCGTAGGCAATCTCTCCATTTTTTCTGTCAATCTCTCTTCAGCGTGTTCAGCTGGATCGCTACGTTCAGCTGGATCTTTATCTGTAAAAAAAAGTCATTAGCCAACAAGAGCAGCGTTACGTTTAAGCAAACGTTTTGGAAAAAGCTTCCACTCCAGTTTGGTTTCTTTGAGACTAGTTATTTTTATTCAACTATACCTTTTCGCTGGTCTTCTTCCAATTCGTCAAAGAATGTGCAAGCCTTATCGTAATCGCTTTTCGGTATCGCCACCTGGATAGCAAAGTCACTCTTATCTTCTGTTGTCAGTTCTTCCGTTATGAGAATTTTCGTCAGTTTATTGGCGAGTTCTCCAGTGGTGTACATACTCCAGAATTTGTTCAGACCCTCCCGACTCATCATACGAACAACACATATCACAGATCCAGATATTACTAAATCAAGCACTCCATGGTATAATGCTAGGAAATGTGATAAACTTCGACGTATTTTATTCGGTTCCTCTGATGAGTCAGACAAGTTCATCAAGAGATTAATAGTAACTGGAGCGGTCTGCGTCCCCTTGCTGATCATGTGAATCTCCACTGACATTGTTGGAAAACCTGAAAAACAAAGGACCCCGTGATACCTCAACATTAAGTGCAATTCGATATTACATTGGCTATTAAAAAAAACATTTTTAACTTTGACTTTTTTTTCTAGACTAGCAGTAGCACTTGATTTGAATATGGTTTTAACTTACCTGGACCTTTTTCTGATAAAACATAGTCCTTGAAAATGTATTAATAGAAAAAATGTTTGAGAGCACAGGGAACACAACTTTAAAGTTTGTGTGTGTTGCCGCCTTTACGGAGAGCAGTCAAGAAATAAGAACACCTGTTCAGTGGCCTTCTGGAATTGCAGATAATTGTTGTGGTTTCATTGACATTAGAACATACAGAAACCCAACTCTTAATAAGTAGAGCAAACGATCCATTTTTAAAAATGTTTTCAATGTTACTGAATACACGAAGTACGTGTTTCTTAAATTCCTCTTCACATTACGCATACAATGAGCAAAGAAATTGTATTTACCTCGAAGAAATGTGACAATATCTTCTCTTCCTTTCTTTTTCAATGATGTGCACAACTCAGTAATCTGCTGTTCAAGCCTTGTGGACTGGGCCCGTTTCCATTTGACAAGCATTGTCCAGCCTTGCCTTATTACTCTGCCTCTGTAATTCTCCTCAATAGTAACAATCTCATGCAACGTAAAGCCCAACTCAGATGCCAGTTCTACCCATTCACAACCAAGTTTATTAGCGACTGCAAGCAGACAATTGTCATCTAAGCCTGGTTCTAAAAAAAAAAGAATGATACAAAAATGTGCTTTATTGGTAATATTATGAATAATCCACGGATTTGTTTGGTGACAAATCGCTGACCTCAAAATTGTTTTGCTGCTAAAAATGTGACGTAACAAAATATATTTTCCACTTGTTGAATGTTATAGTAAGTGGCAAGGAAACAGGTTGATTCACATAAACTGATGTTAATTTAAGCCGCAGGTTGACTTTGGGACGGCACAGAACAGTCGGCAACTGACTTCATATCTGAAAAGCTTTTGATAGCTTTTGGGACAGGTGACTTATACATAAATTTAAGTCCTATGAAATCTCCGATCAACTTTACGCAAACTCCAAGTTCTTCAGCGGACGGAAAATCTCTGTTTATGGATAATGGCCAGTCGTCTTCAGCTCGCAGTGTCAATGCAGGTGTCTGACAAGGCTCTGTAATGGGCCCAATACTGTTCCTGTTATATGTTAATGATTTACCTGATTGTGTCTCATCCCAAATATAGCCATCTATGCGGATGACACAACTTTGTACACCACTCACCCTGGTCCCCTGTGTTCAGCATATCTAGTTGAGTGGTCGGGCACAACCCGACCACTGTCTAGAATTGTTCTCAAAAATCTTCTTTGTTGAGTGGTCGGGCACAACCCTACCACTCTCTGGAATTGTTCTCATTGAGTGGTCGGGCACAACCCTACCACTCTCTGGAATGTTTCTCATTGAGTGGACCACTCTCTTTTATTGTTACGATTAATCTTCTTTTTTTTCCGCGGGTTTTCTCCTAAACGGTATATGATATGCACTTGTAACTTTCAACATAATTTTATATCGGCCCTCATCCCTAGTGGTGCATATTAATGACGTCATCGGGTGTCAAATTACAAGCAATTTTCGTTGAAAAAAATGATGAAATTCTTTTACCTATAACTCTTGAACAAAACAATCAATTTTTTTCAACCTTGTAATCAGATAAACCATTAATAGATGAACATTTTTTGTGGTGTACGTTAACTCGCTTGACCTTTACTTCCGGGTCTACCAGAAGGTCAAAGTTAGGTCAATTCAAAACGAAGACTTTAGCCTGAAATAAAAACAAAGCAATAATTCTTCCAAACGGTTTACGGTATGATCATAAAACCTTGTGTAAACTTGTACCATGTAACGAAGATGCTGTAAATTTTGTTACGTCATCATGACGTAATTTGATACATTCAGGTATCAAATTACAAGCGATTTAAGGGCAACTTTTGACAAAAATAGTTTGCGTTATATCTTTTAAACTAAATAGAGTATCGTGTTTGTTTTTTCTTGAGGTTGTAGACTCTGCCGTGAGAAACATTTCGTGTTCCCGGACACAAAACCGCATGACCTCGTTGAAAGCAAGTTCGCATCTTCTGCCAATTTCAAATAATAAGGCACTTCCGGAAAGAAGGGTCACGTGATTGTGCACTTAATACCAAAAATGAAGACCCTGCAATATTGTATCGATTGCCATAATAAACAAAATTAAATCTGTAGCAGTGATTTTGTATTGATTTTCAAAGATTAAATCTAGAAATCTAGTAATACGATACTTGATCACGTAATTGTGACGTCATTACCAGAAACCTCAAAAGCTATATTTACTGTGCTGTATACAGCCAAATCTTGTCTATCACGGTATATTTTCTAGCAATTTTTAAGGTTTAAAGGTCTTTTTATTGTAACGTCCAGTCTGATGACGTAATAATTTTTTCGCGCACAGGTTTTGTCTGCATTATGGTCATCACGTACATTAATTTTGAAGAGATTACCGCAAACCTCGCCACAGACATCAAGTAAAAATGCGTTTTTGACGTTTTTTAACCTGCCGCTAGAGGGCGCTCCAACACTTCATGGCGTCACCCATTATTTTTTTTTTTGAAAGGTCAATCCAGGCAGACACTTAAATCGTTCAAAGCAAGTTCGTATCTTTTTCCACTTTTAAGTTATTAGGCACTTCCGGTTTCGACCGGAAGGAAGGGTCACGTGATTTACGCGCACAACATAAAATGAAGATCATGTATTACCATGTCGATTCCCGCAAATTTCAGGTTCCGGTCTCTCACGGTTGATTTTATATGGAAGTCCAAATATTAAATTAATTAAACTTTCGAGTGACGTCACGTGACCCATGATGGCGTCATGATTACGTTATTGCAAAAAAGCACATCTGCAGTGGATTGTGCATTCATGTATTGACAATTGAAGTTCATATTTGTGTTCATTTTGACAAACAGTTCTTGAGAAGAATTGTGTCTTGGAGAATAATTAATAGTAAATTCTTTAACAATAGGTTTTGGGCTCAAGGCCCAACACCTGAAAATAGTTGGGATTAGAATCACTCATCATGGCAAGGCATCAGTTTAATGCTCATGGGCAAATGATTCCAATTCCAAACCACTTCAGCCTTTTTTTCCACAACATGCAAGCTTTTACACAGCTTACATAACTCGGCACTGAATTGGTTAAGGCATGGAACTTGGTCGCAGTGTCCAAAAATGTTGTTAAATGGAACTCATAGGGGTTGAGGCCGAGGCTTAGGAGTATCTGCACAACCAGCAATTTTCAAAATTGACCTCACGGTTTTGTAGTTATTTTAAAACAGTCAAACTGACACTTTTGGGGGGGGGGACACACTGTACAGGGTGAGTAAAAACAAAGCGCGGGACTCAAATCCGCAAACTTATCTTTCATATTTAAAAAAAAATCTGTAGCATCAAACATAATAATTACTGGAAAACCGATTTCATAAGCTACTTTTAGATGAAAAAAATTACTGAAATTGCTCAATCTGTTCAAAGAATGTCGCCATTTAAACACAATGACTCTAAACCCTCTTTCGTCCAAAAATGCGAATTCAAGAATCGTCGTCATAATTGTCTTCGAACATCACCAGCGATAAAATCTCAGTTGAAAGTTAAACATGTTCAACGAAGTCCTTTTGAATGCCTGTCTTTTAAAAAAAAAAGTGGATTTTATAAATCATTGTTTGCCTGACTAAGGTTGTTAATCAAAATATTGTGTACTGCAGTTTTTGACGTTTTTGAAGTATTCTGTGTGATTTTCTCTGTTGTTCCAAACTGTCAAAATAGGGGAGGGGGTTTGGACGAAAGAGGTTTTAGGGTCATTACGTTTAAATGGTGATATTCTTTGAACGGATTGAGCAATTTCAGTAACTTTTTTTCATCTAAAAGTAGCTTATGAAATTGGCTTTCCAGTCATTATTATGTTTTGGTGCTACATATTTTTTGTAAAATATGATATATATTTTGTGGGGGTTTGGGTTCCGCTTTTTTTAATCACCCTGTATAATGAATACAGAAAAGCTAGAAAAGTGTCTCAGTACATGTACGTCGGCTGTATTCAATTACCTGCAATATCCTCCCGTGTATCGTCTTTGAGGTCGTCAGAACTTCCTGCCATGTTCCTTCCTTCCACCTGTTTATCGGTTCAATCCTTTTCAAAAACAAATTGAACAAATATTTGAAATTCTTCGTAAAATATTTCCATAAGGAAATTATATTTTCATCTATAATTAAAACAATTCGAAAAGGCTAAATTCTGGCTTTTGGAAAGAGGCGACCATGCTGTCCAAGACACAAAAAGCTGTCAGTCCAAACTGATTTATGAAGACAAAACAAAAAAACTGAATGAGGAATAGTTGTGGTCCTAAATACACCGTGACTGAAATGAATCCAGATGGCCAACATAGACCTCATTCACTAGGAGACTTTTTCGGTCGTGTTCTCTGAATCTATTTTATGAGTTTTAAACTCCTGAATAGGATGGTGCCAGACTATCTTATGATTGGAGTGCGTGTCAGCCCTCACTTTTTTATGTGGCTTGAAACATAAGGATATGTTTAATCACAAATTTGTAATTATTCATCAGAGCAGACTGGTATTAATTTGTAAAGAACTTTTATTGTATTGCTTTATTTCTCAGGCTACTCGCAAGTTCCGAAAATCAAGAGTTAATACCTCGCTTTCAATTTAATATGGCCGACTCGTGAATACAGACCGAATACGTTATCCTATAAACATGTACACATGGGCGTCGCGAGGGGGGGAGCAAGGGGTGGGCGCTTGCCCCCCCCCCCCTCCCCTCCCCCCCCCCCCCCCCCCCCCCCCCCGGAAAGCGAAAAAAAGAGGGGGGAAAGAGGTGCGAAGCCAGATTGCTGTTAATTTGATGGGGGTAGTGCAAACGCTCCCCTGCTCACGATCGGAAAAACGATAAATTGAGAATATCATGAAAAAGTTAAGGAATTTTTGGGAAAAATTTGCTTTGCCCCCCCCCCTGGAAAAAATCCTGGCGACGCCCATGCATGTACATATGATGTCGACCAGCACAGAAGGCCCCTAATTATATTTACATATCTTCTCATCGCCTTCATATACAAAACTAATATTCGCAATAAAAGAAATGTCAGGAAAGTTATTTCTTAAACATAATTTTGTAGGCACTAAAGCCATCTTTATACATGTAATATTAGGCCCACTGCATTCCGGAAGTGTAACTTATGTCAACCTGTGATCTACGTATATATTTCTACACACTTACCCGTATCCATATGATATAGTAGATATCGTCTGACGTTTGCGTATGTCCGATCAGCCAAAGGTTGCTGGCTTGGCAAGAAAAATACGAAACAGAATCCTGATCTAATATGGCAAATAATGTTGCACCGTGTTGAAGCAATAGCGAATTTATGAATTTATTTCCTTATTTCGAAATACCGTTTCGAAAGTTCGTCAGTCACGGGTCACTGAGTGTACACAAAATGGCCCTTAACAAAAGCCAACAGAGCTTTCCCCAGAGCTATAGAGGGCCAAGGTTCAACGATGGCGTGCACAAAACCCATCACAACGAAGCCCTCGTCAGGTTAACCAGTACCCCAAATCACGCTGGTGGGATCGTGACATGAGTTTCGCACTGGATTCACTGGAACATATATTGTACAAATTTTATTTCCTCTGAAATATATATATATATATTTTTCAAACAAGAGACATCCCTTTTGTTGTTAAAATTATTGTAAGATGCACTTTTTTACGCATTTAAAATGTTCTATGGGTTGCTGTTTTTTCATGACAACTGAGGGAGCTGCCGCTGTGATGTCAGTCAAAGCACACACATGGGTTTTCTGTCCAAATTGTGAACCCCAAAATTTGCTCACTGCAAACTTTTTGTGCATAAAGTTTGCTCATTGATTCACTGTCATGTACTAAAACAGCAATTACTGCAACAGCCAAAAATAAAGATTCTGACCGACTTATGGTGCTGAGTCTTTATCTTGACGTACCACGCTTGTACAGGGTGAGTAAAAAAAAAAAGGAAACCTAAATGGCAGGACTATATTTTTTAATGAAGTTCTGCATGTAGAACTTACATCCCTATGGACCTTATTCACGAGTTGGCCATTTTTGTCGAGTTCCCTGAATGTATTTTATAAATTGTTAACTGTTGAATTGGATGGCGCCAGACTTTTTATGCAGGCACAATGCAGCCTTATTTTACTGTCTTTTTTAATATGGCTTTAAACATTAGGGGATGTTTAATTACAAATTGAAAATTATCAATTGAGGCAGACTGGAATTGATTATAAATTAAGTTGCTTTCATTTCTCTTCGCAAGTTAAAAACAAGAAAGATTTTACTTAAAGGGAATATACATCATTTGCTTTTGCTGTAATTTTCAGAAATGGATGGAATTGGGGGGTTGGAAATATAAAGCAAATATAGATGCACTGACTTTTTGAAGGTTTTGGGTTTGAAAATGCTATAAAAACCAAGAAAAACGATCATTTTCCTGTAGTCTGGTTCCCTGACTCCATATAAGAAGAAACAGAGCAGTTTACATACATTGGGGAATTGTAAGGTCAGGGAACCAGTCTAGCTGGCTCGTACCCGTTCATAGGTTTGTAATCGATTGCAAACAAGTGCAATGGTCAATTGGGGCCGGTATTTGAAAAAAAGCCAGTTGTTTCCAACGCTGATCGGCCGATCAGCGTTGGAAATTGATACAAAAATACCACTTTTCTTGAAAATGACAGTATACCAGGTGCCATAATTTTACAGGATGCTTTAGACTGTCATTTACCAACATCCTATTAAGGTATTTCGCAAAAACTTGGTAGTTTTGTTTTTCGATGTTTGCAAATGTTGTATATTCCCTTTAATTTTCAATTCCATAATGGCTGAACCGTGAATAAGGCCCACGTGAATTGTTTTCGTTTTGCTGAAAGAACACACACCTTTTTTTGTGATCCGTGGACAGAACTTTAAAACGGTGGTTGTGTTTAAAATTCCGTAACTTGAAAAGTAAACGAGTGACTTGAAAGATTCTCGTACTAAACGAAAGCTTTGTAATTTGGTTTTCATATCCTAGGTATCATTGCAAGACACTTTGCCTGTTGTCTTGTTTCCCCTTAAATTAAAATTATCTCAACGATAAACCAGGCATCTTTGTAAGTTTGTATCCATATAGCTCATCTCGCTATTCACTAGGCTACTGTGTGGTAGCTCGACTACAACCGTACTTTAAAATGCTTTAATGTAATTGGTTGACTAAATAACCGATCGAAACTACTGAATTATTCATGACTTGGCCCCGTCCTGCGAGTAACAATTACGCGGGCGTTTTCTTTTAAGCGCAAAATAAAGCCCCCTGGCCTACGGCGGGTTGTAGACAACCAAATCGGACTTAACACTTAAAGGTAGTCTAAAGGGTCCGTGAAATGAAATTTTCTAAGTAACATATTTTATGTAACTTTCTACTCCTCTTAAATATACAACTATATATTTGACATCCCCTTTTGGTTAATTTCATTGAAAGTGAACTCCTGAAAACATTACAATGTCCACGCTTTTCTGGACAACAGAGGGCGCTGTTACTGTGATGTCATTTCAGGGAGACAGTGTGCAGTTTAAGGGTTTTCTGTTCAAATGTGAACCCAAAAGGTTGCTCATGAAAACATCTCTGTGGAAAAGTGTGCTCACTGGCGTACTGCCATGTACTGACACACTCTCAAAAAGATATGTAAAAAAGTAGGTAAAACTTGATATGTAAAATAATACACAATGTCGGTAAAATTCGCCGGAAAAAAAGTACCTCGAAAACATGTAAACTGAAAAATACATATTGAATGAGTGAAGCAGTTAGTTTACCTTAATTATGTAAAAACGTACTGCAATTAGGTAAAACGTACTAAAAACAAGGTAAAAACGTACACGCGGTGACGCGATGCGGCTAGTACAGCACAGCATAAGTGAAGATGGAGCACACCGTGACGTCTGTAACTTACAACGAGGGGATGTATCGCAGCTAATGTCGGTCTTTGAAGGTAACATTTTCTAAAGCTCTTGCGATTGTTATAACAACGAATCACCAAAGAACAGAAAAGTCACAACAGCAAAATATCCTAAATTCTGCCAACTTTGGTGCTGAAATAACTGCAACGTTGGGGTATCTGCCTGAAATTAATAACATCACACTTTTGCTCATGAATATGGAAATTTGTATTAGCATAAAAATCAAAAAGTCACAAAATACCTTTGAAAATGGCAAAACGAAAATTGAAAATGAGGTTATGGGATACAAAGGTGTATTTTCAAGGACATTAAAAAAATCACATATCATGGCCCTTTAAAACAAACTCAAATAGAAAACTTGTTAGAAGAATAAAACATTGTAAGAGCACAGGAATGCATCTTTAAGCCTTTGCAATTAACGCCATAACATTTCTTGCTGGTATTGTAGTGTTGCATTACCCAGTAACTAAGCATTGGCCTCAGGCAATAAGAGTGTAAAAACAAAGACTGTGCTTAAGATGTCTCGGTGTCTACAAAAAACATTCTCTTCAAGATAATTCCCAAGATGAGATAGACACATAGAAACTAACATAAAAAAAATTATGGAAACTTGCCCACTTCATTTTTACAATGTATAAGCACAAAAAGGATACCGACCAAACTATAATACAATGCGCATGGCTGGTGACTGGTTCCCCGTTGAAGTTGCTGTACGCATAAACTTGCTTACACTTTCTGGTTTTCAGCTCCATTAGTCAATTTGAGGTATGGCCGACACAATAATGAGGGCGCTATTTGGTTTGGGTAAATAAAAAGAAAAGACTTTACCGAAATCAAACAGCGCCCTCCTATTGTGTGTGAGAGATCTCAAACAGGCTAATGGGTTTGCCTTGTGCTAATATATATTTAATATGTATAATCGCATTTTAATCCATATTCCAAAAAATTAACATGATAGCGTTAACTGTTAGCACTGTGCATGGGTTATCTTGAAAGCAAATTGTTCAGGGACTTCACCCTTTCTACTTAAGATTATTGGGAGCAATGTTTGCATCAAAATAAATTTCCCTCTTTTTTTCCTGTTATTTTTTAAAAAGCAGTAGGCTTTACTTA